GTGTGTGTGTGTGTGTGTGTGTGTGTGTGTGCATATGTATGTAAGCCAACAAAGTGAGAGAAAAAGTGTATGTTCATTAAATTAATTAGTTGAGAGAGTGGAAAAGAAGAAAGGAAACTATAGTAATGAAAGTATCAACGAATGAAAAGGGAGGGAATGATGAATAACATACAATAGGATAGATAGGATTGATCAAAAAATGTTAATTCATCCAACATATTTTCCAATTTTTTTCACATTCGTCATCATTTCAACTGTATTTATTATTTTTTTTTCAATAATTCACGAATTAATTGCAAAAATAACGAAGAACCATATGTCTTGACAGCCATAATTTGTCTTACCAGATGGTAGCATATATAAATTAAGAGTGCTTTTTAAAAACAATGCAATTAAAACAGCAAAAAAAAAAATTTGTCAAATATTTCCAGATTTTGAAATTTCATTTCAAATATTGGAAAAAAATCTCGCTTCAAATTTCACAACCTTATATTTTATTGAATTGCCCCCACCTATTAAACTTTTTTCCATTTCAAATTTGAAAATAGAAAAAATGTTCACTTTGACACACAACCATATTCTGCTACATATTTTCAAAACACCTACCTCTATTCTCTTTCATAGGAAAAAAGAAAGAGAAAAAAAAAGATAATTAATGTTAAGTGAAATGTACCATAACCTGAAACATTACAACGCACACTTTAATTAATTAAAATGTTATGTTTTTAAGACGTGAACAAAGGTGCAAATTTTCACTTTGAAGGAATACAAAGGAAACCCACCACATACTGCTATTCTCTTGCCGTTGTTTTCGTTACGGAAAAGGTAGTTCTGGTGATAAGTGAAATATCACGGTATAAGCAAGTAGTTATATCCTATTATCAGCACATCTTCCGTCTAATTGATGTTACTACAGGTCAGACACAGATGGAAATAGAGCTCTCAAATAGATTTATAACAAAAGTATTCGATTTAATATTATCGTTCGTTGTGCGGATGTCGATGAATTTTCAACATGTAATATCCTTGGATAATATCTCATGGAAATTAATGTTTCAAATCAGACGAATTTCATGCTGTCCCCATCATTATGACTTCGAACTTCGTAAGTGATATTCAATAGATCTGATCTATATGGAGCAAGGAAAAAAGAACAATTAATAATTACACCACAGCTGGAACTAAATTGTTTATCATGAGTTATCTTCTTCTCTCTAGACACTTTCCTCCTTAGTCATCAGCAATGGATTAATGTATTCGAAGCCTTCAAATTCGCTCTGATCAATCTTCTCGATGATACTCCTGCAAAATTATTTATAGTATCAAAATATAAAATGTTTTCCACTTTGATTCTCCTTTTCTGTTCTCTCTCGCCCACATCCTCTTTTCTTTTCCTTTACTTTAAAATTTCACTTCTTCGGAGCAGTAAAATTTGCTTCACTCTTTGAATTATTTGGCTTATTCAATTTTTCCATTAACAGCAACTTTTCCAATAAACAAAACTATGAGCGATATTCTCTTAGACCAGAGATGATCACATTTAATTCCATAATGTATCCGGACAAACAAAACAAATAAGACGGGCAAACACTTTTTCCTTTCCTTCCAAAAAAATGTAATTTATTGATGATATACTTCAGTTGCCCTTCACTTCGGCAACATTCAAGAATCAGTCAACAAAGAAAAAGAGGGAGAAAAAAAAAGTAAAAAAAAAAACGCTCCTCTCTATCGTATTATGAACGCTCCATCATTCTTTTAAAAATTGTAAACAACTATCACTCTCTCACAACTTTCCGAAATACTTTTCTCCGATTACCCTACACATTCTCCTTCCTTTCACATCATTCCCTCTTCTCCAATCTTCTCCTCTTCTTCATATCAAAAACAAAGGGAATAGAGAAAAGAGCCTCATCAAAATTCCAAAAAAGATACACAATCTGTCCCCCCCTCTAATACTATTGCCTATTTTTTTTGAAGATAAAAATGGTAAAAATGCTTCAAATCACTTCAGCAAAAATTCACGAGGGACATAAAGGTGAAGAGAAGGAAGGAGAAGAGTGGGGAAAAAAGCATGTCAAATTGAGACTCAAGAGATTTCCTTTAATCCTTTTTTTTACGATGTAACAAAGATGGGATCTCAAATCAAAATGATGCTGAAAAAAGCTAAGGAGAGCAAGTTTAATACTAAACGACGAAACGGGTGGTATTACGAAGAAGCAATGAACGAATTATCTTTCTTTTAATAAAATAATCTTCAAGACCTTTTTACTTCAATTTAAGCGAAAAGAAAAAAATAAAGGCTCACGGGTCATCCGGTGTGAGATTTGGAGCCTCATCAGTAAACGTTGTGTCGAAATGCTGCAAATCACGGTCACTGGAAACAGATGGATTATAAGGAGGTGTCACTTGTCGTCCTTCCAGCTGCAAATCATAATCTTTAAGTGACAGAACTAAATCACTTAGTAATAACGAGGATTCGTTTTAAAATTTATCAAAAAAATAATACGATGACGACTTATCGACCATCACCTGATATAAAAATTACCATTTTTTCAGAAATTTTCAAATCTATATTATTCGAACAAACTTTGTCTCATTAAATATCTTTGGCCACTCGATAAGTATAAAGAGAAAATATGAACTTATGAACATTCATCAAAAGCATACAAGCGAGAACAACAATGAGTACTGAAAGACCTAAAATATAATAACTATCTTACTAATTCCCAGTCGATGCTCGTCCGAAAAAAAGCATGACTTTTCATTTCTTCCAATGCTTCATCAATATTTAAATTACATCCCAGCCGTTCACTTGGATCCTGAAGAGTTTTTAAGCATTAAAATTATAGTCTGAGTAACGGTTCTCGGATTTCTGTGGAAATTCTTAAATTCCTCATTAAATATCTCACCACAATTTTCGGTAGTTTGAAAACGGATGACCTATCACGATGATCATTATTTCAGATCATACTGGTAGATAGGGCAATACTAACAATGGATTGCAGATCAATTAAGAGATTTTAATTGTTCTCATTGAGTTACAAAACAGTAATACAGTGATAATGAATGATAATGGAATATAGTTATCATATTTCTAAAATATACTGATAAGTCATCGGAAACAGAATGAAAAATAAACTAACTTTATTTAAAAAACCTTTCAGAATAGCAGCAGCTTTCACCGAAAGCGATCTCGGAATTCGTATTTGCTTTTCAAGAATGATTTGAAACAAATAGTCTTCCGTATTTTGTTCCACATCTCCAACCATACCAACTACATCAAATGGTGAACGACCGGCCATCATTTCATACATCAGTACACCAAGTGCCCACCAATCTACGCTAAAACCTGAAAAAATTATAGCTTACACAAACAGTCGTCCAATACGTTCAAATGTTCGACGCTAATTTTTAATATTAAAAGAGATCATTAAATATGAAGAAAAATACACTGATAATGTTCCCCGACAGTGCTTACTGTGCACTGAATCGTGGATTAACTACTAAGAATTCAAAAACAGTTTTGAAAGCTATTCTATTTCCCAAATCATTACAACTAAATGTTAGTCATCTTTAGTTGGAATGATACTGTCTAGAGCAAATAAAAAATCACGACAAAATAAAAGAAATTTAATATTGTGATGTTGCATAAGGTAGTGGAATAATCTTCGAATACAAATATTCTACTAAAAACATATCAATATTCTACTAAAAACATATAAAAACATATCGTCCAATTAACTACTAAAATGCTTAGAAATACACCAATTAACTATTGAAATACTTAGAAATCCATTCTACTCATCCATGTGCTATCACTGTATTTAATAAACTTCCAAATTTTAGTTATATTGATAAACTTTACCAAAAATTTTAGTGAACTTACCATAATCTTCTCCTCTCAAAATTTCAGGAGCAATATAATTTGGTGTACCACAGAATGTACTGGTAACATCGCCTGGTCCAATATTTTCCTGAAAATATTTCTACAAATATGAAACAATAAGTTCCAACTAACATCAAAGGAAAGTTAAAATTGCAAAATTTGCTGAGAATTACTAATTAACAATTTCCTACATAGTCAGAAGTACCAGAAATAGTACATAAAATCAAAAACCATCTGTTTCCGCAGTGTATAAAATCAAAAACCATCTGTCAAACCGTCCCATTTTTCCAGTCTCAATTAATTAAGCTGTCTATAATCTGGAATTTTTCACATAGCTGTGGTACCTTGCACATGCCATAATCAGTAAGCTTAATATGTCCTTCGGCATCTATCAAAACATTATCGAGCTTCAAATCGCGATAGATTATCCCTCGCGAATGTAGAAAATGTAAAGCTACTATTATTTCCGCTGAATAAAACCTGAAATTATTATTATTATAGATAACATATACATAAATACTAACAAGTTATATGTATAACTACCACCTACCTGGCATGATCTTCAGGTAATTTGCGCTGTCTTTGCATGTGGAACATTAAATCACCACCAGGAACAAATTCGATAACAAAAAACAACCGTGAATCAGTCTGAAATGCAAGTTGTATTTTATGAATAAAAAAAAAAACTTTCCAATTAAAAACTTTTAATGTTAGAAGAAATAATAACAAAAAAAGCCAACATATGTGAACATTTGCCTGAAAACACGAATGAAGTCCAACAAGAAATGGATGGTTTGATGCTGTTTCAAAAACCGATTTCTCCGTTTGTACCCAGTCGATATCCTGAAATAAGTACATTGTAATGCATTCATAAAATTAATTCAAGTGGATTATTTTCTGTAAAAAGGATTGAAACGTTTCAAACACTCACCTCATCATCACTAAACATTTGTTTTTTGATGATCTTTATTGCATATACTGCACCTGTCTTTTTATGCTCTGCCTGAATAACTTTCGCATAGGAACCTGTAAGCATTGAATTTTGCTTGAAAAAACAGGAAATTAATACGCAAAATTTTATGACGCCATAACATTTATTAGATGAAGTCAGTTGCAACAATCTACAATTTGATTTAAAACTTGCTTTAACCATGTTTAGAATCCACATCGTTACTTCAGGTCTATCTTATAAGAAAAATATTCCAAATAGCTAAACGCTTGATACAAATTCAAAACCAACAACCAAAATATTCCTACCCCTTCCAATCACAGTTAAAAGATTGAAGTCATTCAAAGAAACCGCCCATTTTGAACTTTTTGCTGATACACCACCGGTTCGACGTTCTGCTAAACCTTGTTGCTGAAATCAGTAAAATTAGTACTTCTTATATGAAGAATCTAAATAAATTACCTTCTGCAGGATCTTTTTAGTTCAGCTCATTTCATATCACAGTTACTCATAATCATTTTCCAAAATATTCATATTATAATCTTTGATGATTTGCAGTAAACTGATTCCACATTTCTCCGTATTTTCTGTTACCGAACTTTAGTATTTTTATAGCTATATATTATTAAGCCAACTCACAACAGTCATATGTTCAGCTTCAATTTCTGATTCCTTGAATGCGTGATTATCAAGTCCAATACGATCCATTGTGGTTCCATTAAATTTTGGTGCAATTAGGGGTGCAGAAGGTGATGGCATAACCGCTATACCACTATTGTTCTGGAAATAATCTACGTCCAAAAATCATTTAAGTTATTAGTTTTATTTTACTCGGAAAAAGGATAAAACTAACATCACCACACGGTTGTCGTACAGCTCTATGACATTTTTTATGGACACAAAGACGGCAATCAGCACATCGGTATCCTTGTCGCCCGAGACCCCAAATGTAATCATTGCAAAAGAAGCATTGTACTCTTCGATTAAGCCTCTTAGCTTGAAATCGATGTCCATTGACATGATAAAATTTCTTCCAGCGACGTGCTCCTCTTCGGTACACCGTTTCTGTTATATCACTTTTTTTATACTTCTATTAAATGACATAAAACAAAAAACATTCCAACACTTCTCAGGATCCTAAAAAAATGGCATTCAATTTTCGAGAAAGACTCTACCATATTTCACTAACATACTATATTAAACTTATTGATTTGAAGGAAATTCTTGAATTATATGAACTAATTGAATAAGCTAAAAATTTTAACATACTATCTTCTCCATGGCAAGGAAGACCAGGCAAAGGAGGAATGCCAAGGAAAACATGTACATTAAGTTCTGCTTCGCCATTCGCATGCAATAAACGTATCGCTTCATCTAATTCGCGCTGAGATGATATTGTACAGGGATCACCTAGATTTGAAAGAAATAACTTCACTGGTTTAAAAATTTATTTACCGTGAAATTCTGCAGCTCAGCAGAGAAAAAGGAACGAGAATGAACTGGTAGATGAACTTGGAAATCTCACGTAGGAGATAATGCAGTGAGTATTCTTGTAAGGCATAAAGTTTGTTGCCTTAGACAACTGAGTTAAATTACCAAACATCTTTCCAGTGAACCATGAATTCATACAGAATCACGATTTCAGCGAATCATAATTCTGTATGAATTCAAAGTAGCGTAACATGAATGAATAAGGATTCAATGGATGTGTTATCAGCGTACCACGAGATTTTTTCTAGATGTTTTGCAGAAATTGAATTCTCTTCCTCTTAAAACTACAAGTGATTTCAAATCAACTATTAGCTTAGTTAAGGCAAACCTTCCTCATCAATCCATTTGACCGTAATTGGCTGATTATAAGTCTGCTTGCAAGCTTCTCGCAAACTGTTCAAAAATGATTCCATTCGTAGTGGGATTTTCGCATACAAAACCAACACCTTAAAAATAAAAATTTGATACACAATAACAAGCATACAAATCTTTACACTCTGAAAAGAATAAGCAAAATCAACAAATAATGAACATCTATTCAGCAAAAGAGTATCAGCCTGATAAATACAACTGGCTGAAAAAAATGCTTGTAAAATATTTGAAATTTTCGCGAAATGTCAAATTTTTTTACACAAAGAAAAACGCGTACTTGCCCTTGGAAACGTGTTTTTAACTTTACATCTTCCGATGATGACATACTGTCTTCATTAGCAACATACATAGTTTCTGTCGACTGATGCTAGCTAAAATAATGATTACCATCATGAATTAGAAAGCAATTACCAGATGAATTGTATATTCAACAACTGCTTTTGCTAGCGCAACGCAATTACTATAATTCAAATCCTTATCACTAAGAAATTACGTTGTTATAGTCCAACAATCACTAACCATCCATGTACAATCTCTTTAAGTACTATTCACAAAAGAGTGGCATCAAATATTTTCAGAAATGCAAAGGCCACAAACATCTAATGATATTAGCTAATTTTCAGCACAAAAACAAACGAACTGCAATGCTGTCAATAAATTCATAAGAGAAAAAAACCAAAATCGTCTAGAAACTGATCGCGTAACTCAAAATGACGATATGATACGGAAACAGATTAACAGAAAATAAGAGTAAACAGGAAATGACGTTTTAATGGCAGTGGAAAAGCGCAAATTGTTTTACCTAATGATATAAGCTAACTTGTAAAATTTTTAGGAATTCCTCCAATGACATATTTAATGGACACAAAAAAGCAAATATCTAACTAGTCAAGTTAAAATCTCATTAAGAATCCAATAAGTTTAATAAGGCTAAATGTTCATCATAATAAGTGTACTAAACAAGCTTATTCTTATCAGATACCAATATCAATAAGCATGAGTCAAACTTATTCAGCTAGATCAGTTGTACATTCCTATTTTAAATTTATATGACACATATACAGTGATCAATCTTTCATCTACTTAAAAATAAATGATTGAATAAGTTTGTTGCGACTAACCAATACATTTATCAAAAAAAAAAACCATCTCAATCGACTTACTCGGAATACCTCATTAAACTTATTTTCAACCTGAACATATTGAAACGTGCCTTGTGTGTGAAATGTCTCAGCACAGCACACCTTATATTAGCGTTCCATCACGTCAACAAAATTTCTACACGGATAACGACAAATGAACCGAAGTTGTAAGACATAAAAGCGCTATCAAATCAATCCATCTTGTTATTTTCCATTGAAATTGAGCGGTAATTCTTCCAAAAACTTTGACCTGAAATAACCATCTAAATGAGATGCTATGAAAATTTTTGTGAAATATCGAGCATAATAAATCCACATACGCCAAAAAAGTACCTACTATAATATATGTGAGAGCGAAAACTTATACTATCCCATCTAAATTATCACGTATAACGTGTGTGATCCGATGTAGAAGCAATAGCTATTAGATCATAGCAAAACTAAACAACAGAAATTTAGAAAAAAAATAATAGGTGACAAAGCAGTACGTCCACTGACAGCAGGATACCATTCTACTACCGTCCGACATGTTGTCAGTTGGAAGATCTCGAGAAGTTTTGTGAAAACCCTCATCCCACCTCATGTTTCCTTCTCACCTGTTAATTAAAAACTTCAAAAAGATCAAGCAAGTAACGGACTATTGATTGTTGCCAGGACAGCTTTTCCAATTCTTTTCAACATGCACCATGCACTATTATAGCATTTAATATTAGCCATATCATACAAAAACGTTTGTATGAAAAAACACTTGTTCAAGGTCTCTGAATCAATATACTGCTACTTTAACATTTTAAAAGCTTCTTACTGCATCGCTTAACAACAAAGACCATGTACTGCATTTGTGTACAACCGATAGCGGTAATCCTCAAAAATGATTTCAGCCAACTTTATTAATCAATATGCTGTAGCATGAAAAGCATTTGTACTATAAACAAGAAACTCTTACAAAATTGATTACAATTCACTGCAGGGACCTAGTCTGAGTCTGCTATATAACTGTTTTATTTGTTCGATAATCAGCGTTTTACTTAGTTACATCATTACAAAAAATGATACCAATGAATATAATTGATGTATTTTAAGTGTAGCAAGAAAAAAACATGTTGTTTTGACCAATATTACTTCAACACTATTGAAAAAGTTGTTCGACATTATGCCATGATCATTTTCAATGATTTTGGAAATACGCTTTGCTTTCTTTCACTCCAGGCTTAATCGTTTCAGATCCAGGATGCCAATTGGCCGGACATACCTTAAATCGATTCTATTAAGCATGATATTCAAATTATCATCCTTGAAAGTAAAAAACAAGATTACGACAAAAATATGCAATCAAACTGCATGGGTAACAGATGCCTTACTAATAATATCATACCACATTTAAAAACTGCAAGACAAATCATGCAGTTAGCAGTCACATATACACACTACAAGCTATTCGTTTACACGTTCGTGTAAACGATGTTCACATTGCAGTCATCAGCTATTATTTATTCGACATTATTAAGCAAATCATAAAGCTCTCTTAAAAACAAAAACTTACTTCACCGTGCTTATCGACAAATTGAAAAGCTTGAACGAGGCGTAAAGTCTCATCCACAGAACGACCCACTGGGAGATCATTGACTGTGATTTGCCGTAAAATCCCTTCTGGATCGATGATGAATAATCCTCTGAAATATGTTCACTTAGTTAACAGTAGTTGAGCCGAGTAATATAATTTTTAAGTGTTAATTTCCTGAAAAACTTGATTTCAACGGAACTATAAAGGACGAAATAACTGGAGAAACTGGCAAGATGGATCTAAACAAGCCATACTGTTAAAACGGTGTGTCGTCTCCGATAACCTCACACTTCCATCGTAACAAACAATGTACCAAACATTTATACATACCGATAAGCAATTCCATCGTCTTCTTTGAGCACACCATAGGCCCTGCTGATTTCATGATTCGTATCAGCAAGAATTGGTATATTCATCGGTCCAAGTCCACCCATTTTTCGATCGGTATTTACCCATGCAAGATGCGAGAAATGCGAGTCAGTTGAACACGCCATAACAGCCACATCTAACTGCTTGAATTCCGCAATACGATCGGAAAATGCGATTATCTCTGTTGGACAAACAAAAGTGCTGAAAATAGCACATATAGAATAAAATTTCCTTTTTATTTTGAACTAAAATAAAAATGTCGTTGAAAAATGGCTGCAAATATCTTTTTTATTTCCGATTATGAATACGAGAAAGAATGGAACATACAAATCGAGTGGATAAAAGAAGAGGACCACATATTTCCCTTTAAACTGACAAAGTGAAATCTCCTTGAAATCGCCATTCATAACCGCTGTTGTTTTAAAGTTGGGAGCTGGTTGACCAATAAACGCTTTACTTCCGGCAAGAGTCATTTTTTTCTGAAATTCAT